GCTTGAGTTCATATACGTGTGAAGGCAGCATAATGTAAAATACTAGACTGGTGGCATCATGCGCTGCGTTGTTTGTTTTTAAAAAAAGCTTTGAGGCGTAATACTCAACCTACAGTGTCATTTGGTTTCACACGTGTTTGATAGACCCGATGCTGAGTCGGGTGGGGTCCAAGCATTCGTGCAGTGATTTGAACTCATCAGTTTGCTCTCCATCATGTCCTTATAGTACCGAGAACAGGAAGCCATCCGCCTTTGCCTGAAGCACTTCCGACAGCATAACTACACAGAGGCCTTCGAGTCGCTGCAGAAGAAGACTCGAATAGCTCTGGAGCACCCCATGCTAACCCACCTGCACGACCGACTGGTGCTGCAAGGAGACTTTGATGCCTGTGAGGAGCTGATAGACAAAGCTGTGAGAGGTATGCAGCCATAGTGTTTGTTCTGACTGAGAGAAATGCTCATGGGATTACGCTTGTTTTCTTTCTCATATTTGATTCATGTGTCCTCTTGCTAGATGGCTTGTTTAACCAGTACATCAGCCAGCAGGAGTACAAGCCCAGGTGGAGTCAGATCATCCCCAAATGCAACAAAGGTACAAGCGCCCAAGAAATCAACCACGACGACATGAACAGTGAGCCCATCTTTCCAGTGGGAAATGTTCCCGCTTATCACACATTTCAATACATGCTGACAACTTTGCCACCTGTCTAAAGCAGCGCTGTCTTTCTTGTCTGTTTGCTGCCCCGCCCATCCCTTCGCTCCACCCCATTTTGCCTGATCCACAACTCACCTCTCTGCTTCGTCGTCTGTCCCCCCCACGCTCACACTCCATCTTTGTCTTTTCCATCCTCTTTTCTCTTTGCAGGTGACGGTGACGACAACAGGCCGGGGATGAGGGGAGGACATCAAATGGTCATTGACGTCCAAACTGGTGAGACTCACACAGCGCACTGTTATGACTTGGCTATGACTCACGTCCTCCTATGCACACTGAGCTCTGCTGCCGTTTAATCAAATGAACCCTCCACAGTTCCCCCACCTCGAACGTTCTCCCTCCAACCAAACCGTTCTATTTGTAAAAACACATTAATCTCGGCTTTTGTTTCGACAGACGCACCGCTGCTTTTTAATGAATTAATTTATTTTAACCCTTGGATCTGACAACATTGTTGGCAGTGTACTTCCCTGCTGGCTGCCAGGAAAAACAGAAGCCTGCATTGTTAGTGTGTGTATGTGAGACTGAGTGATGCAGTGTCTGCAGCTCGTGTATGAGCTGGGAGAAGGCAGCATCTCTGCTCTGCATCAGGCAGCACACACTGACCTCTGTGTCCCACCACAGGAGTCGTGGTGCAGGACTTCCCAGTGATTTCTCTGTCCGGTGCCTGATATCGTTTACATTCTCGTAATTAGTGTTATTTTATTTTATTTAGAATTTCTTGTCA